GCTGATGGAGAAGTACAGAGAGGGTCAGAAAGAACTCCATTATGTCTTTGTTAATTCAAAAAAGGCATATGACAGCGTGCCAAGGGAGGAGGTGTGGTATTGCATGAGGAAATCTGGAGTGGCAGAGAAGTACGTCAGACTGGTACAAGACATGCATGAGGACAGCAGGAGAGTGGTGAGATGTGCTGTAGGAGTGACAGATAGCTTTAAGGTGGTGGTGGGATTCAATACAATTCAACTGCATCAAGGATCGGCTCTGAGCCCCTTCTTGTTTGCTTTGGTGATAGGTTGACTAACAGATGAGGTCAGGCAGGAATCCTCATGGACTATGATGTTTGCAGAGGACAAGGTGATATGTGGTGAGAATAGGGAACAGGTGGAAGAAAACTTAGAGAGGTGGAGGTATGCACTTGAAAGAAGAGGAAAGAAAGTCAGTCGTAGTAAGACAGAGTACATGTGTGAATGAGACGGAGACAGGTGGAACAGTGAGGCTACAAGGAGCAGAGGTCACAAAGGCGCAGGACTTCAAGTTCTTGGGGTCAATTATCCAGAAAAATGGGGAATGTGGTAAAGAGGTGAAAAAGAGAGTCAGTCCGGGCAGGATGGAGTCGATGGAGAAAAGTTTCAGGAGTGATTTGAAACAAAAGAACGTCAGCAAAGGTCAAAGGAAAAGTTTACAAGACAATGGTGAGACCAGCTATGTTGTATGGTCTGGAAACAGTGGCATTGACAAAAAGACAGTAGAAAGAACTGGAAGTGGCAGAAATGAAGATGTTGAGGTTCTCCTTAGGAGTAACAAGGATGGACAAGATTAGGAATGAGATCATCAGAGGTACAGCACAGGTTGAACAACTGGGAGATAAAGTTAGAGGCCAGACTGAGATGGTTTGGACATGTCCAGAGGAGGATGAGGGGAAAGCCAAAAGAAGAAGTTTCATGACTTTCTCAGCATTTTTCATCCCATGAACACACCATTTGTTATGATCAAGTATTAAAGCTCATAACATAAAATATTTGGAAGCTTGAGAGCCCCTGTTGGCCTCAGTCTAATCTGCAGCTAATAACTTTATGATACGACTTGGTAGATTAATTGCAACCATAAAACCTTGATGAAAGATTTTCGTCAGTGAAAAGCATCAATAACCAAAACTGCCACTAGAGGGATTGTGTTCAGTTTCTGAAAACTCGTAAAAACTGAAAAGACGTTCTATTAAAAAGTGTTTCAATTATATATATGTATAAAAAATACATGTTATAGTAAAGTCCTGATGATTCACAACAAAAACGTGCACTCCATTGTTTTCAATTTGTAACATTTCAATTTGCACCGAACAGCATAACTTTTTATAAAGAAGCTTAAATTAATAACAAACTTGGCAACTTAAGCAAGCATTGCTCCATTTTGAAAATTTCACTTTTGTTTTTCCAGCATAAAAGCTTTTTTTAGTCAAAGTAACTCCAGTCTCCAGTTGAATATTATCTAAGTTTATTTTATATCAATATATTTGTAGGATGTTTTTGCAGTGACACAGCCACCCCTCTTTACGCCACAACTGTCCTTTTTAAGTTTAACCTACAGATAATCTCTGCTTGGGGTGGTTTAAATGGTTAAAGACATGTTCTAATGTCTGCTTTGAATATTATTCCTAAAACTGACAGCAGCACAAATGATTCAGGTCACATTACACTCTTATTTGCATTTCAGCACCAACACCATCTAACTAAAATTGGACATTTCCTAAAGCTAAATCTGATCTGTAAGGGTCTCAGAATTGGGTTTACAACATGACATGAAAGCTGCAGAAGAGGAGCAATCATTATCTCTTCACGTGTCAGGATGCATCAGTTTCTGCATGAATGTGAGCTTCGGTGGAAAGAAGTACAGTGAAACGCGATGCAAATAGGCACCAGCTAAGAGCGGTAGTTGGATGAGAACCGGTAATGCCATAAGGACTCTCACAGTGGTGAAGAGCTGGCCCCACTCAGCTTCATCTAATGGGAGTGAAAAGGATGATGGGTAAGGCAGAAGGGTTCATAAGATGATCAGGTGATCTATTTTTGACTGTCTGTTGTGTTGAGTTGTGACTCACACAGGAAAAAGTTAAGTGGCTGAATAACGGAGGAGAGTGGGCTTTGTTCTCCAGCTGTCCCTCTCTCTTACATTATGTTTCTATGATACAGTATTTCTGCATAACGGTCTCTGAATCACTCAGAGTTTGAGAGAAGCTAAAATCCACTCTTGTTAGGACTGCAACGACCAGCACTAACGCAGTTACTGATATACCGTGTTTGACCAAGAGTACAAAATCCAAAGATTAAGACTTCAGTAATATTCAGACTGAATATGCAGACAAGAAGCTGAAACCATTGACTTGCTAGTGTTTTTACATCTAACAGCAGCTTATAGTGATTTTCTCCCAACAAGCTCAACTTTGAATGCTACTATAATATCAATTAAAAAAAATTTTTTTTTTTACTCATTCACCTTTAATTTATGTAATTTCACGATGTTTGTAGAGATCAGCAGAAAATGTAGTAATCTCAACTAAAATGCATGCTAATTCCTAGAATAATGTAATACTAAATGCAAAAATTCTACATTTTTGGACAATTACTTGAGCATTTTTATTCAAACCGACATAAAAGCATATATAGCATACAAAAAACGTTCAATACAAAAACATATATAGCATAGCATATATATAGCATATTATAGCATTACTATATTACTATACTACTATTACTATAGCATATTCAAAGCAACTTAAGCACTTCTGGATAGATGCAAACTGCATTTCGTTGCTTTGTACCTGTGACATGTGCAACGACAATAAAGTTGAATTCTATTCTATTCTATTCTAAAAGAGAGCAATATATATAATAGTATAAATATTGTACAGGTAAAGTTTTGAATCAGTGGGAATTTTTTTTTCAGGAAGTTGACATGAAGTTATACAACAGCAGTCAATGAACAACATGTGTGAGAAGGATCCAATGTACCGCCTGACCCCAGCTGTCCTGCAAACATTCAGAGATTAAAATGTGCTAAGACTTCTCCCTCCGCTCCTAATTCTGAGTACCGCCGAAACATTTCAAGAAAACAATACTGTACAACTTCAATCATAGAAACTAAGAACAGCAGCTGAGCAAAGTGTCAGGCTGATACATTACCTATAAAACTGCCCTGGTAGAAAGGTACAAGGCAAAACATGTTTTTAAAGACAATATAATCCAGCATAACCCGGTAAGGTGCCACATTGACCGTTATTGTACAAGTTCAACTGACGTGCATTTCTGCTTCTTACTGGTGCTTCATTCATTGTGTTGCAACTCAGATTTGCTCCTTAGACAACCTGCAGCTGCAAGAACAAATGTTGTTCTATACATCAGGGGTATATACCATTTTTTTTATTAATAGGATATTAAACTACAGTGGGAATGTGGACACCTCTGCTATAATGAGACTGATGTTTTTTTTGAAAAATGTATTACTCTTAACAGTCTCTGACTTTTCTAGACATGTACTAAATCAGTACCTTTGGTGATGTGTTTAGCATTAGGAACTCAATGACAAATCCCCTACTCGTCAATGGCTAGGGGTGACCCGTTCCCTTTCAGAGAAAATACTCTTTAATAGCGAGTTAAATGGTAAAAGGTAAATGGACTGAACTTATATAGCGCCCTTTTTTCTTATTAAGATACTCAAAACACTACAACACAATCTGTGCCCTCATTTACCCATTCATACAGCACTCTACTATATCTACACAAAGATAAATCGGTGCTTTATCATATTCATACACTGATGGGACACACATCGGAGGCAATGAAGGGTACAATGTCTTGCCCAGGGACACTTCGGAATGTGACTGCTGGTGGAATCGAACCCTCAACTCTCACATTGGAGGACGACTGCTCTAACCACTCAGCCACAACTGCCCTAGTTTTGGTCAAGTTTTGGCCAAATTTTGTCCTAGGCCAAGTTTTGTTCTTTCTATACATTGTCAGAGTCAGAGTTTCTTTGTATGAAATTGTGTACACAGGGTCCCAGTTACATCAAACAATAAAAATGTAAAAGAAAAATAGTAATAAACTCTTAAGACTATGAACTAAGAAAACCGTTGGCTAACTAAAAATACGCTAAGCACTAATAGGATAAAAACAATACGCCGAACAGCAGCACGGGCATGAGTCTGTGTGAGCAGATGAGTACGAATGAACATGAAATACATCAGCAGCAACATGAAACAGATCAGCAGCAACATGATGTGATTTTTCACAGTGATTATCCTGATTAGAGATTCATGAGTCTAACAGCCTCAGGGTAGAAGCTGTTCCTCAGTCTAGTGGTTCTACACTTAATGCTCCTTGACCTCCTTCCTGAGGGGAGCGGAGCAAAACGTGTGTGTGCTGGGTGAGTGTGGTCCTTCATGATGCAGGTGGCCCTCCTCCTTCATCTGGAGGTGTAGCTGTCTGTGATGGTGGGGAGGCTGACTCCAACAGACTTTTATAGTTAGGATAACCATTGTGTTATCTTGTTTAAGTAATTCAGGTGTATAAGTACCTTTTTTTTCAGTGCATATAAAATATATTTAGATATATATTACAGGGCATTTTGCATATTTGGTCAATATATGTTATGTGTGTTAATTAGCAAGTTAATCATCTATAATAAAGACAGGTGTTTGCAAGAAGACATGTTAAGCATTACTTTTTGTGATATAGTAAATAAAGGGCCAATGAAAATTTTGGGAGTCGTGGTAACACCAAGAAATGTTTTATATAATATAGCGCATAAATGATTAATTAGACTGTCTTCCCCAGAATGACGTATAAGTGAAGGCTGGCTTCGTTATAACACAAGTTTTTGCGAAACTAAAAAAAAAAAAAAGAAAAAAAGTTTATCACTGAGTGAACTATCTTCTCGTCGGAGGATCTTGGGCAATCTCAACGTTGGAATGTGCTTTGACCTGTCGTCACGCGACTGCGGTGTCAGCGGTTGCCCCCCTCAATATAAAGCACAGCCTTCTTGGTTTCTCTCTCCTCTGTGCCTTCAGAACCGTTCACCAGAACCATACACCACCACCAACACAAAATGACCTCCGCTGCCCAGCCCATATTCTCAAAGGGAGAGGACTGCAAGCCCTCCTGGCACGACGCTAACGCCGGCTACAATGACGCCGACACGCACCTGGAGATCCTGGGCAAGCCCGTGATGGAGCGCTGGGAAACCCCGTACATGCACTCACTGGCGACGGTGGCGTCCTCAAAAGGTAAAAAAGGGGTAGCAGGAGACATGTGTGCATTATCGGACAGAACGTCTTGTTCCGCGGCTTGTCCGACGTTGGACTGTGGCAGCTTCACCATACACTTCCTTGGCGGACACAAGTGCATTCTTAAAAAATATTAGTTGTTTTTATTTGACACGGTTTGCTGTGGTGTGGTTTGAAGTATAAACCAGTGGAGTTTCTCCCTTCATTTCATGGGAACACATGTCAGACTGTGAGAACCACAACAGCTGTTCCTGCTGGGACAAGGCCAAGAAATCTGCAGACCACCACAGCTCTCACACCGAATACACAGAACTGTACAAAAAAATCTGGAGTGTTGAAAAATAAAACTTTTTACATGCCCTAAAAAGTTCTATGTAAAGTATTTAAATCAAAGTTTGATTTAAATATGTTTTTAGTATGTGTTTTTGATCATTATTAAACGATGAGGTTTGATTTCACTGCAATTAAATGGTAGCAAATTAATCATGAAGGGGGTAACTAGTATATATATATATATATATATATATATATATATATATATATATATTGCTAAAAGGAGTGAATCACTTTCACGTTACAAACACTGGCTTTCAGCAATGTGTTAGTGGATTTAGTACTAAAGCAGCAAACCAAAAATAAGCTGTAATGTTTGTTGGTTAACTCCAATTTTGTGGATGAAATGTGACCTTTTTTTTTAATTGAGTTTGCATAAACTTCCTGCTTGGTTGTCTTTGTCTGGTAGGTGGTCGGGTTCTGGAGATTGGTTTTGGCATGGCCATCGCCGCCACCAAGGTGGAGTCTTTCCCCATCGAGGAGCACTGGATCATCGAGTGCAACGATGGCGTCTTCGCCCGACTGGAGAACTGGGCCACGGCTCAGCCACACAAGGTGCAACTGACAGTTATTTATCAAATTGATCCTACTTAATGATTGAGAATAGATATTTCTGCTCACGTGCAAAGTGTTGTTTGTGCAGGTCGTTCCTCTGAAGGGTCTCTGGGAGAAAGTTGTCCCCACCCTGCCAGACAACCATTTTGATGGTGAGAAATAAAACGAGTAAACTTTGATTCAACACAGCATGAAGACTATTGTTGAGCTGAAGGTGCAAATGAAGCCGTTTTGTACCCTTGTAGAGAACAGAAAGGCTTATTATGTGTGGTTGGTTCACTTATTTGATCGCTGCTAATGCTGCAACCCTCTTCTATCAGGTATCCTATATGACACATACCCTCTCTCAGAGGAGTCATGGCACACTCACCAGTTTGACTTCATTAAGGTGGGTATTTAAAATATACTTGCAGCAAATTATGCACAAGACGAGCGGGTAATTTCAGAGTATTTAGAGATATTTGCATGAAAATCAGACGCTTTATTCTAATGAAATCAAAGAGTCAGACTTGTTTGTTCATGGCAAATAGATGCCAGACTATTTATTTGATTTTTCTCGTGAATTTTGAAGAAATCGTGCGCGTTTTTCCTGCAGGGTCACGCTCACAGGCTGCTCAAACCCGGCGGTATTCTCACCTTCTGCAACCTGACCTCCTGGGGCGAGCTGCTCAAGATTAAATACGACAACATTGAGAAAATGTTTGAGGTTTGTCCCTTTTTTTTTTTTTTTAATGATTCAACCAAAATCTAATGTTGATCTGAGTTGGATCTTTAATTCATTTGGAAATTGTGCTGTTTTATTTCTGCTTTCCTGCGAGAGGCTCCGTTCATGTGTTTACGCAACAAAAACACCATTACATGTCGTAAAGTGTATTTAAATGGGTTTTATTTTGGACTGTAAACTAAAAAAGTTAATTTACGTTTTGGAAGTATGAAAAAGTCCATTTCGTCTCACTAAGTGAGAGATGGAGGGTAACTCTGAGAGCAGCAGAGCTCTGAATATCATGCTGCTTCAATTTCAAGGCCGCTGATAAATCGGATCAGACCGTAAGCCGCCTCACGCTGACCGGCTCTCCCTGTTAATGATTTTCAGGAAACCCAGGTGCCTCATCTGCTCGAAGCCGGTTTCAAGAAGGAGAAGATTAGCACCACCACCATGGACATTGAACCACCCTCAGAATGCAAATACTATTCCTTCAAGAAGATGATAACGCCCGCTGTTGTGAAAGAGTAAAGTCTGAAAACACTACCGCAAACTTTTTATACTCGTATTCTGGTGCCTTCAACACTTGGTCCATATGTTTCACTTCACAGTATTTCAATAAACTCTATCACAGTCGGTTTAGTAGTTCTTGTTTGTGTTTTTTGTATTTGTAAGCCTGACTCGACTGGTGTTGAGTGTCACGCTGCTCAGACTCCCCAACAACCTAGTTCTAGAAGCAGAAGTGAATTTATTACTGCTGCTTTAGGAGAAACATGCGTTGGTATAATTATAGTCTGAGCTGCTCTCAGGTCTGCAGACTCACATTATTTATGAACGGGACCAGAAAGTGCTAACTCAGTAAACTTGTTCCTCCTACTTCTAGTGAAGAAGGAAGCATTCAGATCCTAAAGCAGACTTGCTAACAAAATAAAATTATTAAGCTTTGAAATTAAATTTCTTTTTAATGTAAGGAACTATCAGTCACAATAAAACTAAAAGTTGAGTTTAAGTTCGTTTTAAAGATTTCTGCAATGTAAAGTTTTGACATAGGATCCTGGTTAATTAACTTTAGATGATTTGCACAGATTTTCAGACAAAATTTGAATGTGGGATGAAGATATTAGTTATTCTTGGTATATTAACTTAAAAAACAGATAATTTGGATATTTCTTTGTCATTTACACAATAAATAAATAAAAAAATTAAACTGATCAGACCAGTAACCATTTATTAATAAATCTTTTATAACTTTTAGAAACAGCTATCAAATGGAAATCTGCATGAATTAAAATCCGCAAATCAAAACTATTTCAAAAAATGTTTTTAGACTTGAGCAAATGTAAAATAAACTAACACTTTATAGTAAGGCTCCCCTTATAGATGGCTAATAGTTGACATTATTAATTCATCTATAAACACTTTGTAAATCATTAATAACTGCTTATTATGTATTAATTGCGGGTGAACTGACCAGTTTGTTGCCAAATAATCAGCCAAATCTGCCACCTACATATTTCATCTATAGTTGTTATATTAAACATTTCAGTCTAAGTTACT